CTACTTGATCAAAACAATAACGTCGGTACAGGAAAGGTACTTGATAAATAAAGCGGCGACGCTACCCTCAAGCTACTGGAAAATGTAGTTAAACTAATAGCTTCGCTACATGTAGCGGCGCTACTGCCCATCACTGTCAATGACCACTCACACTCCCACCACGGACTGTTTTCCCTGCTGCACTCTGGAAATAGACTTGAATGTTGTATAAAATGAGCTTAAAAAAAAAACTAAACTGAATGCTGGAACTGTAACTAACATACAGTTGTATGTTTACATTATTATTGCTGCTTACCTTTATCATGGCTACACAAAAAATGAAAATGTCTTGAGAGCTGTACTAAACAAAATTTCTTTTTGTATACACTATGTGCACAAAATGACAAATAATGTATGTCTCTCTCTCTTCCTATTACAGTGCACACAGTTTTTGTTTTCAGTCTCAAATCTTTTTTTCCCCAACTGAATATCTGAGAAGTTTGTGATTAAATCAAAACATTATCATTGGTATAAAGTTTTCTTTCGGGAGTGTTGCTTTTTGCACATCAATGAGCTAAAAAGTTATTAAATAACAGCTGCAGTAAAACTATTCTGTTTCATGCTGTGATGAAATGTTTCCCTGTTCAGTCCTTTTAATGTTTGTTTCTGATAATACTGGCAAATTACCTCATTTATCAAGCCTTTACAGACCTCTTCTTTTTTGAGGATGCTATTTTCCCTTGGGTATGACAGCTAAATTGAATTTAAATATTTTATTAGACAGCTAATCAAATTAATTGGATTCATTACTCTCTTGACACTTCCTTCTGGTATTACGCAGTACCTCGTAAAAATATTAAGGAGGAATAAAAGACGATCATTTATTACTGAGTGGATCATGTAAATAAGTGGTCCTCCTAATTGTCAATAATTCTGGTGATATGTTAAAGAAAGGCAGTCCTACGTGCTCGTTCCCATTGGCTATCTTTTTCTGCGCATGCGCACTTTCAGGTGTACATCTGTGGTGAGCTACGGTTTCAGACTGTCATTGAAGCTCACCTTTCTCTCCACAGTTCTTTAAAAATGGCCAGGGGTCGTAAGAGAAAAAGTATCTACGAAGTGTATGAGAAGAAAAGAAAGGCCTCTGAAGAGGAAGATATTTCCTGGAATGGTTTGCGCAGAGAGCTCTCCTTGCAAAGCATTGTGGGATTTGTTGTCACAGTGGCCCGCGGTCACCATAGGCTGCCGTTACCCAACAGTGGCGACTAATAACAAAGATGACGCAGGCACTGCGCAGTGGAGGAGGAGGTACATGACCAACGGGGGGTAAAAAGCAGTGATCATCTGTCCGAACGGTCAGTTAACTGAGTTTGCTATAAAGTCCACTATATAGTCCCCGCTATATATAGTGATTGAGGGATTTAGGGGTTAAGGCGGATGTTCGGGTGCAGGGTGGTGCATGTGCACTTTTTTTAAAAGTGGAGAGGGTGGGTCTTTTCAAAAATTTGTGGAAATCCTCCACTATACCTTTAAGTCTACGCAAATGTCAGCAACATAATGTAATGTTCAATATGACAAGTTGAACATTATGTGTGATAGACCACTCAACCATTTGGTCTGAGATACTGTATCTCCTAAATCATAAACAGTATCCACTTATAAGTTATTAAACCCTCATCTACCTTCCTATCATCTGTCAACTCTGTCAACTGTTATACGATAGCCACTGTTGAAGGGAAATCAGAGGTCCCGTTGGAAGTTTGCCACAAATCTTCCAGACGCCAAAGCCAAGGTGTGGTCTGCTCAGATTAGACTGAAACAGAACCTTTTAGCAAACCCTAAAAACCTGTATGATAGAAAATAAAAACTATGCATAATTCTTAAAATAACATCCTCAGGGGACAGAGAAGTTTGTTGAAGTTCATTAAAAGATAAAGAAGGAATTCATAGTTAACCCTGGGAGAAAACTTGTTGGGTGTAAAAACTCCACTACTGATGTTGAGCTTCATCTTGCAGCAGGACAACAGCCACAGTAAGCAACAAGAGCTACAATAGTAGACAGCATATTATTATTTCTGACATATCTTTTAAGCAAATAAGTTGCACAAATCATTTTTTTTATTGAATTGAAATTTGCATAGTTTTCTTTCCAATCACCTAAAGTGACATTCTACATCAAATGTTGTAGTTTGGATGTGATAAAATGAGAGAATGTTCAAAAGGGAAGAACAGCCTTGAAAAACTCCATATATGCATACAGTTGTTTACTGACAGA